ACTTTTCAACATGAAAAAGCTCTCTTGTGAATTTTCGTTATAGTTAGCCGAAGAATCACATTTTGTCAGTGGATTCTTGATAGAACTGATAATAATAGGGAGTTTTTAAGTAACGTTTTATGGACCGATAAGTCATGCTTCACTAGACGTGGAGTGGTAAATTTTCATAATCAACATATTTGGTCGCATGAAAATCCGCATGCAGAAAATATTATTTTCCCACAAATAATTAAAAATGCATCGAACCTTAAAAATCGAAATATCTCAAAAACGGCTAACTAAAACGAAAACTCACAGGAGAGCTTTTTTTATGTGAAAATTGCACTAAGAAAAAATTTTCGGTCATTTTAATACACTACAGTACAGTAGAAAGCGCCCTCTAGCGGCCATGGTTCGTTTTGTCGTACCAAAAAACCCTTGTATACCAATTTTCACTGTTATACATCAAATATTGTTCGAAATATTTAAAGAAAACTATTTTAGAAAGTAAATTTAGGGAAGCCACGCATTTTTCGACACATTTTTATATAGACTTTATGCATTAATTTTAAAAGTTCCATCGAATGTTGACCAGCTCGAGCAGTGTGCGATGAGAGATTAGGCGGCAATCCGTATGATATTTCTGCAAGCTTTGAGAGAAAATATATGATGTATATGTAACAGGTGCGTGTATATAGCGGGATGGTTACGTATGAATATACTACCGGCAAGAAAATTGCGAAAAAATGACTAGGAGCTCCTTAAAGCGTCAAAAAAGTTTGAGCAATTGAGATACGGATGACTACGTAATTCCTAGATTTGGATTTTTTCAATAGTTATGTTCAAGTTTTGATGAAGGCAGTCATAATCTTTATTTTTGTTGTATATAGTGAAAATCGGATAAAACCTCGAACTGCATAGCCCCACATAACCTCAAAAGCACTAGCGGCTACCCGTACGCCGCCACTCAAGGAAGAGGACATTCTAGACTAAAAAGACATCTGGTATTATTATTATTGATTTTCATAGTCTTTCCTCTCCGTCAGAATGGCTGGGATATTTCTAGATTTCTACTGTTACGTATCAGCGTCAGCGCTCTTCTATTTTCAGGCTATGTTTTCTTCTTGAATTGTAGGAAATTTTAGGCTATATAACAGATGATATAAATCAAAAACATGAACAATTTGATGCAAAAAGATATTTGTAACTTAACCTCAAAACAGGGCGTTAACACGGAAGAGTAGAAAACTGTGAAAATCAAGGAGGCCATAAAGGCGACCTACAGTTGCAGGAACGACTGACGATATACGGTCATAAAATCTTTTGTGGTGGCATTTTTTAGTCAAAGCAATACAATTTATCACGAAAAAGAAATCATAAAAGCTGCGACTTTGAGGTTCATCCGTACCTCAATCATTTTTAAGGCCCCAGAAAGTTTTTTCTCATAATCATAAAAATTTAATCGAGTCGGTAAGTGCCCTGGAGCAGCCAGACGAAAAAGTGGATAAATACCTGGTACCAGGGACAGGAAATCATTAAATCCTAGCTTCTAACCTTAGGGGCCCCCTGTCTCAATGCCAACTCTTCTATAGGTTATTATGTAGTCCTTCTTAGACCTCGCTTAGCTTTTAAGATCCCTCAGGGAGAATTATCTGACACCTCTTACATCCTATGTGTCAAAATCTCCGCCACCTGTTTTTTGGGTAGCCAACACAGGGTGGTCAGAGCTCTAGCACCACGGCGCACAACTTATACAGTCTACAACTATTTTCTGGAAGCATTTGACCTTTTGCTTTTTTAACCATTAGTTCGTCGCTACTGGACAAATTTTTAAAAGCTACAAAGCTTTTACGTCTGCCCTAGTAGTTATACTTAGGTAAAAGGCAATAAAATCCATTTACTGCCTTTTTTTAAATTTTGACGCCAATATATTTCTATGATTACGATTACAAGACACAACATCTATAAACTTATACATGTTCATAATCCGTTTTCTGGAGAAGTTGATAGATTAATAATTCTCTTAATAAGTTTCAGAGGCGTCGGATCATAGACCATCGGTAAAAGAAAGCATAAAATACATTTACCAATCATTTGAGGTGACCTTTGGGGATACAGCAACGAGACAAAATACAAAATCAAGACGAAAGAGTGCATAAAGATCTTTTATATACAATTTCACATCTATTTTCCGCATTTCTAATGATTTCCTAAGTTTTTCTGAAAAATAAAAAACAGTTTCGTCCTGAAGTACGCTAAAGTGTAGTTACAGAAATCAAAAAATGAAAGGTTTAACGCTTCACTTAAAAAAGACGCGTAGCTTGTTCCTCAGGGACCCCATATCAATGTGGGGGGCCCCGCCCAACTTTGGCGAATCCCAAATGGAGGGTAAAATTTGAAGTATAGATTTTTACAAAAAAAAAACAAAGGCTTGCATATTTGTCACGTATTGATCATGTTGGCCCGTAGGAAGTTTTCCCATTCGGAAGGGGTGGATCATCAGCAAGAGATAACTTTCTGTAAAAGTGTACCTACCGTCAGAACTTTTTGAAGAGCGATCCGTATCAGTATTGCGAACGCGAAAATTTTATAAATTCAAATAAATGTTTTGCGATGTCTACAACAAGTAAGTCCACGTGGGGTCATAAAAGTAGGTGTTGCTACTCCATTCTTGAAAATAGTTTAATGATGCTAAGAGTAAAAATTACAATAGCTCTTACATTGTCCCAAAGTTTGTTGTTGCATAATTTATAACTTTCTGGGCATTTTAAAAAAATCAAAAATATTTGTGAAGAGACAATTAAAAATTTCTAAAATTTGCTTTCATCGTTTCTGTTTGCTTCATTCAGGTCAGGGCATATTCAAAAACATTATGGAGCTCAAACATTTATAAAGGGTGGGCGATCACTTGTTTTTCTTAAGTTGGTATTATTTTGACAGTTGGTAACACTCCCATGCTCAGCATATTGACAGACATATTGTGTCAAACTTCCGCTGTGAGCAACGGATCGTTTTAATCTTGAACAAAGTTGGGGAATATTGAAAAACTATTTTCAAAGTGAGTGCTTTGTTGCAGAAACTTCGCGAAAATTGAGAAGACTATTTGGTCGGAATGAAACTCCGTCCGCGACCGGTATACAAAAGGTTCGTGAAACTGGCCTGCTTGTGAATCATAGAAGGTATGACGGTGTTGGACCCGTAGGTACAGCCGGAAACATTGCTGCTGTTGCCCAGAATTTGCGTGGAAACTCGCCAGAGAGCACAAGTGGGCATTAATGCCACTTCTGTGCGGAGGATATTGCATAGCGACCCTGGATTATGTCCTTACAAGGTGCAACTTGTGCAATAGTTGAAACAAAATGACCATCCGCTTCGATATCGTTTTTCTATGAGGACTCTAAATCAATTGGAAACGGGCGTCAATTTTGGTCGCCAAATCATCTTTTCGGACGAAGCCGATTTCCATCTGGAATGTTACGTTAACAAGCAGAACTGTAGGATTTGGGGTTCTGAAAATCCACATGTCATAGAAAAACCAATGCATCCAAAAAGAGTAACTGTTTGGTGTGGCTTTTGGAGAGGTGGGATTATTCGTCCCTACTTGTTTCAAGATGAAGATGGTGGTTCCAGCAGGATGGCGCAATATGCAGCTGTGGTTTGACGCCCATGGATTACTTCGTATGGGGTACTGTTAAGGATCGCTGTTACACTAACGATCCTCAAACAATTGATGTTCTTAAGGAACATATCCGTCGAGCTATTCATGAAATACACCCACAAACTATCGAAAATGTGCTTCAAAATTGGGTTAAGAGGATGGACTACTGCCAGGCCAGCCGCGGCAGCCATTTAACTGAAATTGTTTTGCACAAGATCTTTTGAACAAAGTATCGAGTGTTACATATTATTGAAGAGTGTAGTTTTAATACCAATTTAAAAAAGAAACCAACATATTACATATTACATGAAGATAGGCTCAGGTGAATACTTGGAAAGTACTGAGTCGATCTCCTTGCCACTGTTACGGAAAAAAAATTATTTAACCATCCATAGCGGAAGACAATTTTAGTGTTTCAAAATTTTCAGTCGTACCATGCTTGATAGTCAAAAGTGCCTCATAGAAGTTCTAAGATATTTTAATTTCGAAAAGCTTCTCTCAGCTGTTGCAGTTCTAATAGAGTTAAAAATAGGAAGCATGCTATTATACCTAGACAACCTAGCCATATAATCTCAGGTTTGGCGCTTGAGAATTTGTTAATTTAGCGCGAGGCTAGAAACTTGCGTGAGATTTTGAAAAACACTACGCGTTTTTTTTTTCGTACGTGGGGGCCCCTGAAAGCTCATCATTAATTCGGCAGTAGCTACGCCCCTGTCCAAAGCTCATGAGACACCAGATCATAGAGCCTGTATAAAAGAAGGCATAAAATACCTCCACATATCTTTTGACATCACGTTTGGAAATAGAGTGATGGGACAAAAATCAATAAGAAGGAGCGCTCTACAGCGCTTTTTCACCCTTACATTTACCTGTTGTTTGAAAGAAATCAAAGAATGTAGAATACCTACTTCACTGTAAAAAAACGCTCTATACTCCTCTTATTCAAGATGTATCCCTTTTAATTCCCATTTTTTTGTGTATGCTTCAAAAAACAATGAGTTATGAAAGAACTACCGACATACCCACATTTTAAGGGATAGATGATGGGGAACTGGGGCCGGATCCACGGCTCAAGGAGCCTTGTATCCTCGTCCGACGGGGGAGCGTCGAAACGCACACGAACTCGCCAGGTTAATTCTCCCCGAATTCGTGAACATTACAAAAAAAAACTCACCTCATATTATATATTCCTTCCGGCGGACGACGGTCCTTTCCACCATCTGTCGCTGGGACCCGGCGACTTTGCAACGCGACGGGCGTCCGACTCATCGCACTTGGCATCCCAACAGAAAGAGACAGCGAGCACACTAACCACTCACTGACCGTGCGTGCGTATGTCGTGACATAAGTAGAGGTCTAGCAAGATAGCAAGTAGCAAGCAACGGACCGCGCACAGCCGCATCGCAACCGATCCGAAGACGCACTGAACGAGGCGCGGCGCTAGGGAGCCGTGCCGGGCGCGGAGTGGGGATTTGGGTTTTGGTGGGGGGAGGGAGGAGGATGGTCGTCGCGTCGGCGGTGTCGCGAACTACGCCGGGAGGCGGGAGGGATCAACTCGTGTCACCATGTGTGTCAGCTTTTTAGTCGTTTGGGGGAGTGAGAGTGCTCGCTTGACGGTTTTCTGAACAATCATCAAAGTGGGTTTTGTTATCTACCTTCCGTCGCTTTGATCTTCAAATAGCGTGAAGGCTATATACAGACATGCCAATATAAACTATACTTTAGCGCATATCGCAAATATTTCGTTTCTTATTTCAAAAATGAAAGATTGGGATGTAACTTGTACGTAAATATATTTATTCGTAAGGTTAAGCAATTGTATCTAGATAAAATGGCATAATATATTATGTACTTTCTGTGTTAAGATAACTGTATGTCATTATCTCGCATTTGCTATTGTTGAATTTACTGTGGTTGTAGTTACTATGATTTTAAGGGAATCTAGAATTACTGTTTTTTTGTTTATTACTGGAGTAAGACACTATTATAAACTATAGGAAGTAGCTTTAGGGCTAAGAATAATAAATATTTCATGTCATTTCATTTCATTTCATTTCATTTCATTTCAAATATCATTTTTTCTTTAAGGAACCATCTGCTTGCTATTTTACAGAACTTCAAAGTTGCGTTTTGGGTGGTAATACTGTGGTAGAGCCGTTTTACACACAAGAGAATTACTCCGAAAATTATGGTTATAATTAAGCTGAAAATTTTTGTCGTATTACACCTAAAAGAATCCTTGTGACAATTTTCATGGTAAAAATATAAAACCCGTTCTATAGAATATGCGCGAGAATCGGCGCAGAGAGGGTTATTTCCGTGCATGTCATTATCAAATGTCAACGTCAACAACATAACCTCACTTAACATTTGTGGGTGTGGTCCTGTTCGAGTCGTAAGAAGAAGCGTTTATTGTTATTATTTATTTATAATGTCGTGGAATCGGGAAGAAGTTACACTGTTGTTGGAGGAACACCAAAAATGGCCACACCTATACAAGATAAAGTCACCTAATTACAAAAACAGAAATTTGCGGCGTTAGGCGCTGGATGCGATAGTCCAAGCATTGAGAAGTTTTATAATATTAACCAAGATCTCGATTTCAAAAACAAAGTTAAATCAACGACGTATGTTTTCTTTGCGATTATTTTGGACGTCATACCCGTTAAGGTTATGTCCATTCGAAAATATTACGCTAATGCGCAGGCGTATCATATGAATTACTCGGACATTTGCTTGTGTCATACAGGATGTAGAGAAAATCTTCATATTTTTTCCATGCAAATTTTCGGCATAATTATGACCATAATTTTCGGAGTAATTCTCTTGTGTGTAAAACGGCTCGTATACAATACTACCTTATAAGCTGTTTTTTTTTCTTGCGTACACAAAAGATTGCTCAAAATTATTTGAATATAACATACGCTGTATATTACTGTGACACTGTTCATCGCAATAATGCAATTTTGCATTATTTTACTGATGAAAATAGACCATTGTTAAGTAGTCATTTATTTTATTTCAGCTGAGCTGTACAAGGAATTGAACATCTTTAACTTAAATCAGCTTCTTGAGCTAGAACAATGTAAATTTATTCATACAGTGATTACTAAAGCCCAAAAAGGCAATACTGAGATTCAATTTACAAATGATACACACAAATATAATACTAGAACACATATATATATCTACATGTATAATGTTAGTACCATAGGTTTGAATAATCCCAAATCGCAAGCATCAAATGCATACAATAAATTGCCAAATAGCATAAAAAGCATTAACAATAGCTTTATCTGTTTTGCAAAGAAATTAAAAGATCATATTCGCAGCAAATAACACATTGTATTTGTAGTTAAATATTGTTGAATATTGTAATTAGTGGTAAGTACATTTGGAATGTTGATATTCTCTGTTTAGAGAATTGAATGTTAATATATTTTGTAATACTCTATTTTTGTAATATATTGTTATAAAAAAAATATTTCCATCACTACACCACCATCACTACACCACCATCACTATCATGATTTCTCTATCTAGTTGCGGTGTTGCCAAATTATGGATAGTAATATACCTTGATTTGGTTTGTCAAATTCTTACTTATACAACTAGCGCAAAAATGTGCAATCGGCACAGGATTGCTATGAAATGTACTAAATTTACCTCGTGTTTTACGATCCTTTAAAAAATGACCGTTCAAGTCGGGCACAGACTGTCAGATCACTAACACTTACAGTAAAAAATGTACATCAAGTGTGGTGTGCCTCAAGGAACAGTACTAGGCCACTATTATTTAGTCTCTACTTAAAAGACTTATTCAAAATTAACAGTTCTGGAAAGATTATATGTTTTGCAGAAGACACCCTCGTATTATATAAAGCTGATGACTGGAGCACACTGAAGCAAATAGCTGAAAAGGATTTTATAAGGATCATTGACTGGTTTGATACTAAAATTTTAACAGTTAGCTTCAAAAAAACAAAATTTATTGCATTTACATCCTATTCAAAATTTTTACCTACCTTCGAACAAATTTCCATTAATTATCATGTCCAAAAGACCAAAATCGATAGAGTTAACACTTTGAAATATCTTGGAATATTTATAGACTCATATCTAAGGTGGGATAACCATATTAAATACGTTATCAAAAAAATTAGAAATGTTGCCTATAAACTCAAAATGCTTGCTAACATTCTTACAGAAAGTTATCTGCGAATCCTATACCATGCCTTAGTTGAAACCCATATAATATACGGCATCACAGCCTGGTGTACTGCCTGCAAGACATATATTTCTGACCTGAATATAGCACAAAAGACTGTTTTGAAAGCCATTTTCCATAAGCCAAGATTATATCCAACGAACAACTTATATCAAGAAACAGGGATACTTGATACAAGACAACTTTATTTCTTACATGCCACCACCTTATACCATAAGTATTGTAATAAAAAAAATCCTATAAACACGAGCATAACACACAATTTCGAATAGGCTCATCTAATATCCAAAGACCACACAAAACATTATTCAAAAAATCATTTAAATTGTTAGCAGCTAAATTATATAATGTAGTACCAAACGAAATAAAAATACTTAATTTTGGAAAAAAAATTAGAAGAAAATTGAAAGACTGGGTTAGTACTGTGCAGCGAATGACTATACATAATTATATAGAAAACTAAAACTACACTACACACACTACAAATACTTGGATTATTGTTTTTTCTATATTATAGCTATAATCTATTTACTTTGTGTATGTATGTACTTGAACTATTTGAAGTGAATCTAATATCAGAAAATATACATAATTTAATGCGATATATATGAGAAATTACCGAAAAAGTGACTTCTGCCAGTCACTAAATAATGAAAGCATAAAAAAGAAGAACATTGCATGTTAATGATTTGATGGAATGGCCGCAACTATTTAACTATATATACTGGTGGACGATTATATGTTGGGTGGACCTGGCGACTAATCGAAGTTGGATATTTTTATATGAAGTGACCGCTGGTGCCTTTTGTATTTTTTGTCACGCGAGTCGCTGGTGCATTTTCCACTGTTTAGACACATACTATTAAAAATTTCATCTAGTTTTCAGTAAATATTGGACAAATTTTCATAAAACAAGCCATTTAAAATAAATTAGGACTTTTATTTTGCAAATAACCACATTTTTTTGTTTAGCATTTCTCCAAAAATAATACAACCTGGCAACAATGGACATCATTTATCTTATCTGTCAAGAAAGGGGCATTATAAAATGGCAATTGCGAATTGTTTGTACTTTCAAATGATTCTTATAAACGCAAAAATTGATATCTCATTGAAAATACGCAAAAAAAATAGTTAAGGAATTTAAAGAAGACGTTGAAAAATCACAACACCTCTATACAGTTTACCAAGTAAATACTATTATTTACGTATGAATTTTGAACTGTTATTTTAGCTAATAAGTTATTGTGTAATAACACGCTAGTTTTGAACCTTTTTTTTGCAAGAAACAACGATTTTTTACGGTTTTACATCTATGTTCCTTAGTACTAGACAGTGTATGTTATATTCTTATAATTTAGAGCAGGGCTGTCCAACAAGCGCCTTTCTTGCGGCCCGCTTCACGGATCATGTATAAATTACATGTATAAATACTCTCAAATACCGAATATGTACAATTCTTACATTAACTCTGTAATAATGTTGTATAGAAAGATTTTATAATGCGGCCCTCCAAACTGCATTTATTTTTGAAGTGGCCCTTGGGCCACATTAAGTTGGACAGCCCTGATTTAGAGCATCCTACTGTGCAAAAAGCAAAAAAAACAAGGTATAAAAAAGTGCTATTCTAGGGTATTACCACCAAAAATGCAACTTTGAAGTTCTATAAAATATCAAGCAAAAGGATTCCTTGAAGAATCAATGATATTTTCAAGAAAGTTACATTCTAGTATTCCATTTTAAAATAAGAATGGAAGTATTTGTGATATACGCTAAAGTATAATCTTAAGGCCAATATTTCTAAACCAGAAAGTACATCCAAAAATAACAAAAAAATATTCCTATAAGTTAGAGTTAGGATTTTAGACGTTCAGAACAACGAACACTCAAAGTTTCCTGGTCCAAACTGAACCGCAGACGTAGAAACTGGAGTACCTGGACCCTTACTAGTGAACATTTCCTACACCACTGACCTTTTCAGAAAAAAGTGATTTTTATAAAATACTAGTAATTTTCCAATAATTTGATTCCTTGAGGAATTTTGTCAGATCAATCGTTTTGCAGATATACTAAGTGACATATAAATCCGAGCACCCAGTTTAAATGGTTTTATTTTAATAAACGTTGGTGAATGTATTTATCTCACTGTAAATAACAAGTGAAAAAATTTTCAGCCTTATCAGTTGGACATTCCGGTTTTTATACTGCTTTTTTTTTAATTCACTAACGCTCTAAAAATGAATATTTCAGCCGCAGTAAAGAATCAACGTTCGCTGATTTTGGTTCTTGACATCCTTTACGATCGGTTACGATGACTAGAGTACGGAGACCTGCACGATTTCGTCAACTTAGTGAGTTTGATAGCGGCCGTATAGTGGGACTTCGGGAAGCTGGACTTTCTTTTCGGGCAATTGCAGTTAGAGTGCAAAGAAGTGTAGACACTGTGGTTAGGTGTTGTCAGGCATGGCTTCGAGAAGGCCGTACGCAAAGAGCAAGGGGCACTGGACGCCGCCGTAGAACAACAGACCGTGAAGATCGCCGCCTAAGATTATTGGCCTTAAGGGACCGTTTCTCCACTACCAGGTCCATTGCAAATGAATGGTTTGCAGAACACGGAAGACCTATTGGCATGCGAAGTGTTTACCGACGAATGAGAAGTTTTGGCTTGTTTTCATACCGGCCACACTGGGTCCTCCCTTTAACTCGAGAACACCGACGTAATCGCCTTGAGTGGTGCAGACAACGGTCACTATGGGATCAGGAATGGAACAGTATTGTCTTTAGTGACGAGTCTCGATTTTGTTTAGGCATGCACGATGGTCGTGCCAGGGTTAGAAGGCGACGTGGTGAAAGGAGGAATCCACAGTTTTTTGTTGAAAGACATGTTCATCACATTATTATGGTTTGGGGTGCTATAGCTTATGGTTCCAGGTCACCTTTAATCTTCATCAGAGGTAACATGAACGCGCAGCGTTATATCCACGAAGTTATAGAATCCCATCTTTTACCCTAACTTGACACCCTGGCAGATCCAACTTTCCAACAAGATAATGCCCGACCACATGTTGCAAGAGTCACAATAGACTTCTTTCAACATAATGATGTCACATTGTTACCATGGCCACCAAGATCTCCCGACTTATCCCCAATTGAGCACGTGTGGGATATGATGGGTAGGAGATTGCTCAATTTGCAACGTCCTCCTCAGACTCTAGAAGCATTTCGAGAGGAGTTGGTGGTTGCCTGAAATGAGATACCACAGGAGGACATTGACCACCTGATCAGAAGCATGCCTGGTGCGTTGGAGAATGCGTAGCACATCAGGGTGCATCCACACATTATTAAAGGTCAAAGGGCTTTAAAGCAGTGCAATCATTTTGAAATTTTTATCATTTACTTATTATGCTTCATTAAGTACTTATACAAAATTTTATTGAAATAAAACCATTTAAACTGGGTGTTCGGATTTATATGTCACTTAGTATATTTGAGGAAGAATCCAAAAATATTTTTACCGAAAATTTAGCCTCCCCTAGCAGTGAACAAAGTACAAAGAAGAGTCAAGCTTTGCCTACAAAATAACTGACATTTTGAATATCTGCTAAGATTTACCTCTGCTTTTTTGTGGTTATTATTCTTGTTGCCATCAATAAAAGTTTCATGTTGTGTTCATGCTTCACCATACCTCTTGATTTTTTTCCTAATTTTCATCTGTCAACGAATTCATGGACATCACTGAATTTAGGGCTGAAAAGTCCATTTAAATGTACCAAATTCCAATATAGCGTGTACATGAAAAAACAAAGTTGGTGATGGAAGCCGAAAGAAAACATATCGAATTGAAAATTTGACTTCGCCATGTTGTAGAGAAGAACAAGAAACAAGGACATCACGCTATTTATTTTAAAATCCCGTCTCGAATAAAGTCAGGAACAACTAAAAGTTATTTTCGGATAAATCTACTAGGACTAGGCCTACCTAAAAAATTCCGCTTTTTTAAAATAACTAAAATTCGGCAATGTCAATGTATGACGTACTATAGGTACATTTTTGTAATCAGAATCGAATTTGAAACACCCTTTACAGCCTTCTAGACGAACAGTTTTTGTTTCTTATTTTAACCCATTTATACTCTATACATCTATACAGTATGGCTGACCTTTCGTTCTAAATGTATTTAGGAAA